TTACACATTTTTATACATTTGCAAAAACGTCTAAAAACCTGTTTTTACTTTGTCATTATGGGGTAGTGTGTGTAGATTGATGAGGGGAAAAAAAACAACAACTATTTAATCAATTTTAGAATAAGGCTGTAACGTAACAAAACGTGGAAAAAAGTCAAGGGGTCTGAATACTTTCCGAATGCACTGTAGAATCCAACTCATGGAAATATAGTAACTGCATGGCATTCATCACGCATAGCTCTGCTCTAAATGTCGCCTCACGTTTTTATGCTAAATAGCATATTATTATTTATTTATTATTATTATTATTATTAGGTGTTGGTTGGTGGACTGTTTGGTGTAGAGTACAGTATCTTTATCTGAAGGTATATCACAATGCCAGCGTCCCAAATGTCGTCACTATTCCCTATATAGTGAACTAATTTTGACCAGGGTGCCATTTGGAATGCTAAGCAATTGAGGGAATTGAGGTTTAGTGAAAATACAGTAGAAAATCACTAGGTTGTCACGTGAAATAGTCTCTATAACTGAATCAAAGTGCTGTTTGGCTTACGCCATTAGCCTTATAGTCCTAATAAGAAACCTGACAAAAAGAGAAAATGATTGCAATCGTGACACTATTCCAAGTTGATCCACATATTTCCCCTTCATCATGACTATTGTAATTCCCTAAGTAATTCCACTATAGTCACCGATGGAATGCTTTCAACCTTTATTGTTCCAGTTTAGTATTGACAGTACAAAGCCTTGTCAACACCATTTTATCCACCACCCTATTCTCAAAGTGAGGCGTTCGAAAGCGACAAATGCTGCCCGTTGTCCTTTATGAACACAGACCCATGTCTTGTGTTTGGTTGGAACATTACGCTCATAGCGGAGTGGGTCGTTTGATGTGTGCAGCGTTGAGGCTAAATAAAGGGCGAGGGGCGAGAGACTGAAGGATTTTGCAATGCAATGCGTTAATTAGTGCTGGGCTACCAATTAAGTGGTTTGTTGTGCGAAAAAAGACGGAAGGCACAGTCACGCAGCAAGAGGCCCACTGGACAGCAACACTACTGTTTACTGAAACACAAAAGACCAACTGTAAAGAAATGTGTTGTTCTTTTCACACTATCGTGCCGACAGTAGCGTTGTGCTTGTTTTTTTGTTGTTGTTGTTGTTGTTGGCCTTTTCAGTTTACAGCAACTGTGGTGGATAACCAGGCCAGCGGAACCAGGCCAGCGGAACCAGGCCAGCGGAACCAGGCCAGCGGATCAGGCCTACAGCCACTCGGCTCAGTAGTGTTAAAGGGAGAGGTCCCAGAATTGATGAAAAACGTATGGAAACCACACTATAAATCCCTAGTCCAGGCAAGAGGACACTGAAAAAAGCCAGGTTAACCCTGGATTGCCGCGTGCATCAATGTGATCTAGCCATCTTTAAATCAAGATGGAATAACTTAATGGTGGGAAACATAACTAGTGCTCGTTTTACCATGAACTGACAGTTGAGGTTTCAGAGGGCCTCTTCTTTGATGACCTGCTGTCAGCACACACAAGACAGAGTAGGACCCCGACACATACACTGCATGACCAAAAGTATGTGGACACTTGCTCGTCGAACATCTCATTCCAAAATCATGGGCATTAATATGGAGTTGGTTCCCCCCTTTGCGTCCAAAACAGCCTCCACTCTTCTGGGAAGGCTTTCTACTAGATGTTGGAACATTGCTGTGGGGACTTGCTTCCATTCAGCCACAAGAGCATTAGTGAGGTCGGGCACTGATGTTGGGCGATTAGGCCTGGCTCGCAGTCGGCGTTCCAATTAATCCCAAAGGTGTTCGATGGGGTTGAGGTCAGGGCTCTGTGCATGCCAGTCAAGTGCGTCCACACCGATCTCGACAAACCATTTCTGTATGGACCTCGCTTTGTGCACGGTGGCATTGTCATGCTGAAACAGGAAAGGGCCTTCCCCAAACTGTTGCCACAAAATTGGAAGCACAGAATCTTCATTGTATGCTGTTGCGTTAAGATTTCCCTTCACTGGAACTAAGGGGCCTAGCCCGAACCATGAAAAACAGCCCCAGTCCATTATTCCTCCTCCACCAAACTTTACAGTTGGCACTATGCATTCGGGCAGGTAGCATTCTCCTGGCATCCGCCAAACCCAGATCCGTCCATCGGACTGCCAGATGGCGAAGCGTGATTCATCACTCCAGAGAACACGTTTCCACTGCTCCAGAGTCCAATGGCGGTTAGCTTTACACCACTCCAGCCGATGCTTGGCATTGTGCATGGTGATCTTAGGCTTGTGTGTGGCTGCTCGGCCATGGAAACCCATTTCATGAAGCTCCTGACTAACAGTTATTGTGCCGAAGTTGCTTCCAGTGTCAGTTTGGAACTCGGTAGTGAGTGTTGCAACCGAGGACAGACCATTTTTTTTACACGCTACGTGTTTCAGCACTCTGCGGTCCCGTTCTGTGAGCTTGTGTGGCCTACCACTTCGCGGCTGAGCCGTTGTTGCTCCTAGACGTTTCCACTTCACAATAACAGCACTTACAGTTGACCGGGGAAGCTCTAGCAGGGCAGAAATTTGACAAACTGACTTGTTGGAAAGGTGGCATCCTATGACCGTGCCACGTTGAAAGTCACTGAGCTCTTCAGTAAGGCCATTCTACTGCCAATGTTGGTCTATGGAGAATGCATGGCTGTCTGCTAAATGTTATACAGCTTTCAGCAACGGGTGTGGCTGTAATAGCCGAATCCACTAGTTTGAAGGGGTGTCCACGTACACTATATATACACAAAAGTATCTCATTGCTCGTCCTATACACGGCTAAGACAGATAGGGCTTCCGACTGTGACCCCCCTGGCCTTGTCCCTCTAATCTATACTTTCCATAGTTTAACTTAATGGCTAATTAACAAGACTTCCCATCTCCATCACCTTTCTCCATCTCCTTTCTCCATCTCCTTTCTCCATCTCCTTTCTCCATCTCCTGCACTGGTTGTCCAGCGAAGCCTTGCTGAGGTGATGGGGTGAGTTTTCCCTGGTTGTCCAGCGAAGCCTTGCTGAGGTGATGGGGTGAGTTTTCCCTGGTTGCCCAGCGAAGCCTTGCTGAGGTGATGGGGTGAGTTTTCCCTGGTTGTCCAGCGAAGCCTTGCTGAGGTGATGGGGTGAGTTTTCCCTGGTTGTCCAGCGAAGCCTTGCTGAGGTGATGGGGTGAGTTTTCCCTGGTTGCCCAGCGAAGCCTTGCTGAGGTGATGGGGTGAGTTTTCCCTGGTTGCCCAGAGAAGCCTTGCTGAGGTGATGGGGTGAGTTTTCCCTGGTTGCCCAGAGAAGCCTTACTGAGGTGACGGGGTGAGTTTTCCCTGGTTGTCCAGCGAAGCCTTGCTGAGGTGATGGGGTGAGTTTTCCCTGGTTGTCCAGCGAAGCCTTGCTGAGGTGATGGGGTGAGTTTTCCCTGGTTGTCCAGCGAAGCCTTGCTGAGGTGATGGGGTGAGTTTTCCCTGGTTGTCCAGCGAAGCCTTGCTGAGGTGATGGGGTGAGTTTTCCCTGGTTGCCCAGAGAAGCCTTACTGAGGTGATGGGGTGAGTTTTCCCTGGTTGCCCAGAGAAGCCTTACTGAGGCCATGAGTTGGATTCCTTCAGTTTTCCATTGATGTCCTCCAACTTGATTTAAATACTGTATTAGCGGTCCGTTAAGAGGGATGACCCAACAGATAATAGGTATTAATGTCTTATTTGAAGTGGAGAGTGATTTTGATGCACACACGTGCAGGCTCATTTGGCTGTTGAAATGGTGAAGGTTGCAGTAACCACAATCCAAGAGAATATAGTTGAACTCTAATAAGTCAAAAGGGAAGTTAACCTTTGAGAGCATTAATTTCCTAACAAATAGCAATTTTTGGATTTGAGCATTTTTCTCTTAAACCACAGCAACAAGGAAGGGACAAGCAACAAGCATAAAAGTACACAAACTAATACTTAAATACTAAAACAGGACAGAGAATCACTTTGAACACATATATATCCATGTATTATTTAATCAAGTAGAGAGTATTATGGTACAAGCAACAACAGGTGTGTGTCTTCAGATCAGGATCAGGTCAGTCCAGTTTACTTAGCAGACCTCCTAGTCCTTTTGTCCCAGGAGAAGTTGGCTCCGTACGACTTCGCTCTGGGCTTCTTCTCCATCTTCTCTGTGATGTCGTAGCTCCAACCTGAGATAATAAACAGCTCAGATGAATGAAATGAAGCCGCAGGGCCAAGAACAGCTTGTGTATTCCTCTTGGATCAGATCCCATTCACAATTTAAAGTGTAGGCATAAACATGCGTCGTCAGAAAGCTGTGTATAGACAAGAACCGCACTAATCTCTATCCTGCTATGATAAACAAAACACGTTTCCTCAAAGTTAGTGTATTAGTGTAAGTTAGCGTCACCCACGACGACTAGCGGAGGTAGGAAGGGGATCTATGGGATTTAACAGTGTGTGTGTGTGTGTGTGGTGTGTGGTTGTGGTGGTGTGTGTGGTTTTGGTGTGGTTTTGTGTTGTTGTGTTTTGTTGTGTGTGTGTGTGGTGGTGGTGTGTGGTGGTTTGGTGGTGTGTGTGTTTAGTGGTGGTGGTGGTGTGTTTGTGTTTTGTGTGTGGTGTGTGTGTGTGTTGTGTTGGTGTGGTGTTGTGTGTGTGGTGTGTGTGTGTGTGGGTTTGTGTGTGTGTGTGGTGTGTGTGGTGTGTGTGCTGTGTAGGTGGTCTGGTTGGGTGTGGTGTTGTGGTCGTGGGTGTGTGTGTCTGTGTGTGGTTGTGTTGTTGGTGTGTCGGTTGTGGGTGTGGTGGTGGTTGTGGTGTGTTGTTGTTGTGTGTGTTTGGTGGTGTGTGGTGGGCTGGTTGTGTGGTCTGGTGTTGTGTGGCTGGGGAGTCTGTGGTTGGGTGTGGGGTGGTCTGGTGTGTGTGTCTGGTGGGTGTGTGGATGGTTTGGTTGTTGTGCTGTGTGGTGGTGTTGTGCTGTGATTGTAATTGTCTAGCGTAGGCATGGTCTGGGTTGGAGCTGGAGGTTGGTTCTGGTTGGAGCTGGGGGTGTCGGGTTGGAGCTGGTGGATGGTCTGGTTGGAGCTGGGATGTCTGGGTTGGCTTGGGATGGTCTGGTTTGTGAGCATGGTGGGGTGTGGTGTGGTTGGGGATGGATCTGTGGTTGGAGCTGGGGAGGTCTGGGTTGGAGCTGGGATGGTCTGGTTGGGAGCTGTTTGGGATGGTTGGGTTGGAGCTGGGGATGGTCTGGGTTGGGTGATTGGGTGGAATGGTCTGGGTTGATGGGATGGTCTGGTTGGAGCTGGGGATGGTCGGGTTGGAGCTGGGGATGGTCTGGGTGGAGCTGGGGATGGTCTGGTTGGGCTGGGGATGGTCTGGGTTGGGCTGGGGATGGTCTGGGTGGGGTGGGGATGGTCTGGGTTGGGCTGGGATGGTCTGGGTTGGGGCTGGGGATGGTCTGGTTGGAGCTGGGAGGTTGGGTTGGAGCTGGGGATGGTCTGGGTCTGGGATGGTCTGGGTTGGGGATGGTCTGGGTTGGAGCTGGGATGGTCTGGGTTGGAGCTGGGGATGGTCTGGGTTGGAGCTGGGGATGGTCTGGGTTGGAGCTGGGGATGGTCTGGGTTGGAGCTGGGGATGGTCTGGGTTGGGCTGGGGATGGTCTGGGTTGGGGCTGGGGAGGTCTGTGGCTGGGATGGTCTGGGTTGGAGCTGGGGATGGTCTGGGTTGGTGATGGTCTGGTTGGGATGGGGATGTCTGGGTTGGAGCTGGGGATGGTCTGGGTTGGGGCTGGGGATGGTCTGGGTTGGGTGGGATGGTCTGGTTGGGTGGGATGGTCTGGGTTGGGGTGGTCTGGGTTGATGGGGATGGTCTGGGTTGGAGCTGGGGAGTGGTCTGGGTTGGGCTGGGGATGGTCTGGGTTGGAGCTGGGGGATGGTCTGGGTTGGGGCTGGGGGATGGTCTGGGTTGGGGCTGGGGATGGTCTGGGTTGGGGAGCTGGGGATGGTCTGGGTTGGAGCTGGGGGATGGTCTGGGTTGGAGCTGGGGATGGTCTGGGTTGGGAGCTGGGGATGGTCTGGGTTGGGGCTGGGGATGGTCTGGGTTGGAGCTGGTGGTCTGGGTTGGGCTGGGGATGGTCTGGGTTGGGCTGGGGATGGTCTGGGTTGGGCTGGGGATGGTCTGGGTTGGGGCTGGGGATGGTCTGGGTTGGAGCTGGGGATGGTCTGGGTGGTTGGAGCTGGGGATGGTCTGGGTTGGGGCTGGGATGGTCTGGGTTGGGGCTGGGGATGTGGTTGGTGGTTGGGGGCTGGGGATGGTCTGGGTTGGAGCTGGGGATGGTCTGGGTTGGGCTGGGGATGGTCTGGGTTGGGGCGGGATGGTCTGGGTTGTGGGGATGGTCTGGGTTGGAGCTGGGGATGGTCTGGGTTGGAGCTGGGGATGGTCTGGGTTGGAGTGGGGATGGTCTGGGTTGGAGCTGGGGATGGTCTGGGTTGGAGCTGGGGATGGTCTGGGTTGGAGCTGGGGTGGTCGGGTTGGAGCTGGGGTGGTCGGTTGGGGCTGGGGATGGTCTGGGTTGGGCTGGGGATGGTCTGGGTTGGGGCTGGGTCTGGGTTGGCTGGGGATGGTCTGGGTTGGAGCTGGGGTATGGGTGTCTGGGTTGGAGCTGGGGAGTGGTCTGGGTTGGGGCTGGGGATGGTCTGGGTTGGGGCTGGGGATGGTCTGGGTTGGGGCTGGGGATGGTCTGGGTTGGGGCTGGGGATGGTCTGGGTTGGGGCTGGGGATGGTCTGGGTTGGGGCTGGGGATGGTCTGGGTTGGGGATGGTCTGGGTTGGAGCTGGGGATGGTCTGGGTTGGAGCTGGGGATGGTCTGGGTTGGAGCTGGGGATGGTCTGGGTTGGAGCTGGGGATGGTCTGGGTTGGAGCTGGGGATGGTCTGGGTTGGAGCTGGGGATGGTCTGGGTTGGAGCTGGGGATGGTCTGGGTTGGGATGGGCTGGAGTGGAGGGGACGTAGACAAGAGAGTGGCTGGGCGGTCTTGAGTCGGTAGGTGCACTTGATTCAGCTGCCCTGTGCGCCGGGTAGTCGAAGTGTTCCCATTTTTAACCATTTCATGTGTCTGAAGGTACAAGCTCCGCCTACCCGGCGGGCCCGGAGAGCAAATCAACTGCAGCTACAGGCCTACCACTGGCCAATCAGTGTCTGCAGCTTCCACCAGCCCACTGTGAAGTTGATAATCGACTCTACTGTGTGAGATTTCAAAACCATGACTAGAGAGAGACTCAACGAATACAGCAAAGAGCTGCTGTTTCTATGAGTGAGTTCATGTTTAAGATTTTATTCAACACTGTCAACACTTTATTCAACACTTTTATAAGCCATAAAACAGCCTCTCCCTATCCACTCAGGCTACAAAGTGTATCGATAGACTTGCGTTGTTATTAACGGCTTGTGTGTTTCTAACATCGAGGAGTACTTCACATTCTCTGGCCATAGGAGTAACAAGATTAATTGGTGCATGAGTCAGAAATAATGAAATGCGAGTCGAGTTTCACCATCAGCTGGAAGACAATGTTCCCGTTTGGTCAGTTAGCAGAGGGAGGAAAAGCTGAGTCTCTCTCTGTCTGTCTGTCAGTCTCTGTCTGTCTGTCTGTCTGTCTGTCTGTCTGTCTGTCTGTCTGTCTGTCTGTCTGTCTGTCTCTCTCTGTCTGTCTGTCAGTCTCTCTCTGTCTGTCTGTCTGTCTGTCTGTCTGTCAGTCTCTCTCTGTCTGTCTGTCTGTCTGTCAGTCTCTCTCTGTCTGTCTGTCTGTCAGTCTCTCTCTGTCTGTCTGTCAGTCTCTCTCTGTCTGTCTCTCCCTCTGTCTCTCCCCCTCCGCTGAGACTGACCATCAGATGCATGTACCATCAGTCCAATAATAAAAAGAAAAAACCCTAATGATTTCAATTTATGCTTCACAAGTAATACAACAAATGATATCAAGAATCTCGCAGACCAGTTTTATGGGTTTAGTAGCTTCCAATGCAGAGAACTTGCCTATGAATTGGCACATCACATCAACATCCCTGTCCGAGACAACTGGTCAAGGAACGGAAGGGTAAGTGATATTGAACAGAGAGATCTAAATACAATATACCACACACTCATTCCATTAATTAAACTTTAACCTACCAGCACCACCACCCACTGTCACATTAGCTAGCATTAGTGGTCTGAGATGTTAGCATTAGCTAGCATTAGCGGTCTGAGATGTTAGCATTAGCGGTCTGAGATGTTAGCATTAGCTAGCATTAGCAGTCTGAGATGTTAGCATTAGCTAGCATTAGCGGTCTGAGATGTTAGCATTAGCTAGCATTAGCGGTCTGAGATGTTAGCATTAGCTAGCATTAGCGGTCTGAGATGTTAGCATTAGCGGTCTGAGATGTTAGCATTAGCTAGCATTAGCGGTCTGAGATGTTAGCATTAGCGGTCTGAGATGTTAGCATTAGCTAGCATTAGCGGTCTTAGATGTTAGCATTAGCTAGCATTAGTGGTCTGAGATGTTAGCATTACCCTTGGTGTCTGCCTGCTTTGTCCTGTCTACCAGTCTGCTTTGCCTTTGTACTGTCTGCCTTGTATGGAAAATCGGTTTAAAACTCAAGCCAACATATGCCTCTGTCTTTGCATTAGTCTGACGTAGACAGAGATATCAGTTAGCCATTTCCCAAACGCTGCCAAAGCTAAAACCTCACAAATCCTTTAACATGGCGAGTTAGTGTTGTTGTTGTTTTTGTTTTGAATTGTCTCTTTGTAATGTGTGTGGGAGGCAGAGAGAGAGACAGTCAGACAGACGTCATCCTGAAGTATAGATCTAGGATCAGTCTATCCTCCTCAAATCCGAACCTCACATTCTATTTTGCTGTGAACCCTCAAAACAGGCAGCAACCACTCCAAAGACGCCAGCTCCAGTAACCTGATGGTCGGTATGCTGCCTAGGCTGTCCATGCTGCATGCATGGCACATGAGACGTTTTGAATGTCTAGGAGTAGTGATTCTGATTGCCGCCCTTGGAAACAACTATTTAATGTGTGTGTGTGTGTGTGTGTGTGTGTGTCTTACGTGGAGGCCCATCCCATCAGAGGGTTTTCCCAGCGCTCCCGGGTGTCAAAGTCCATCTTCCACTTCTTGGTGCCGTGGGCTCCTGACTGCATGGCCGTGCGGGCTGGCACAAAGATGTGCACCTTGCGGGTCTTTATGTGTTCGTCAGGAACCCCGGTCAGAGTGGAGATGTCCTGAGGAGGAGAACAGAACAGAACCCCAGTCAGAGAGGAGATGTCCTGAGGAGGAGAACAGAACCCCAGTCAGAGAGGAGATGTCCTGAGGAGGAGAACAGAACCCCAGTCAGAGAGGAGATGTCCTGAGGCCACTACACTATTACACCACTATTACTACCATATTACACCACTACACTATTACACCACTACACTATTACACCACTATTACACCACTATTACTACCATATTACACCACTATACTATTACACCACTATTACACCACTATTACACCACTACACTATTACACCACTACACTGTACTGCCATATTACACCACTACACTATTACACCACTATTACTACCATATTACAACCACTACACATGACAACACACACGAGTACTACACGCAATACACCACGATTACTACCAATATACACCACTATACGTATACAACCACTATTACACCACATTGACACCACAGACACCAAACACAACACCAACCCGATACACCACGACACCACGACACAGACACCACACACGAGACACCATAGACACCACACACGAGTACACAACACCACACACAACACCAAGTACACCCACGACACAGACACCACGACACATGACACCACACCAGGACACACAACACCACACACTAGACACCACTAGACACCACACACGATTAACCACGAGGACACCACGACACGAGGACACCACAGACACCACGACACGAGGACACCACATGGACACCTACACACAGTACACCCACGAGGACACCAGCACATACACCACGAGGACACCACTGACACGAACGACCATAGACACCACTACACGGGACACCAATTACCCACATTACACCACTATTGACACCACTACACATTACACCACTACACTACTATACACCACTACACTGACTGCCATATTAACACCATATTACACCCACTACACTATTACACCACTACACTATACTACCATATTACACCACTACACTATACTGCCATATTACACCACTATTACACCACTACACTATTACACCACTACACTATACTGCCATATTACACCACTATTACACCACTACACTATTACACCACTACACTGTACTGCCATATTACACCACTATTACACCACTACACTATTACACCACTACACTATACTACCATATTACACCACTACACTATACTGCCATATTACACCACTATTACACCACTACACTATTACACCACTACACTATACTGCCATATTACACCACTATTACACCACTACACTATTACACCACTACACTGTACTGCCATATTACACCACTATTACACCACTACACTATTACACCACTATTACACCACTACACTATTACACCACTACACTATTACACCACTACACAATTACATATGATATACTAATAGTTATTACATACTACCATACAGTTAACATTTACACACTATACAGTTCTTACATTATTACATACTATAGTTATTACATACTATTATAGTTACTACATAATACTTTACCGTTACACATATTACATACTATTATACAGTTATACCACATTAGTTCACACTGAAAGGAGTTCTCTACAAACTGGTATTAAATTGCTGACAGTTATAATGCTTAATGACTTGCTATGAGCATGTACAGTGAGGGAAAAAAGTATTTCATCCCCTGCTGATTTTGTACGTTTGCCCACTGACAAAGAAATGATCAGTCTATAATTTTAAATGGTAGGTTTATTTGAACAGTGAGAGACAGAATAACAACAAAAAAATCCATAAAAACGCATGTCAAAAATGTTATAAAATGATTTGCATTTTAATGAGGGAAATAAGTATTTGACCCCCTCTCAATCAGAAAGATTTCTGGCTCCCAGGTGTCTTTTATACAGGTAACGAGCTGAGATTAGGAGCACACTCTTAAAGGGAGTGCTCCTAATCTAAGCTTGTTACCTGTATAAAAGACACCTGTCCACAGAAGCAATCAATCAATCAGATTCCAAACTCTCCACAATGGCCAAGACCAAAGAGCTCTCCAAGGATGTCAGGGACAAGATTGTAGACCTACACAAGGCTGGAATGGGCTACAAGACCATCGCCAAGCAGCTTGGTGAGAAGGTGACAACAGTTGGTGCGATTATTCGCAAATGGAAGAAACACAAAATAACTGTCAATCTCCCTCGGCCTGGGGCTCCATGCAAGATCTCACCTCGTGGAGTTACAATGATCATGAGAACGGTGAGGAATCAGCCCAGAACTACACGTGAGGATCTTGTCAATGATCTCAAGGCAGCTGGGACCATAGTCACCAAGAAAACAATTGGTAACACACTACGCCGTGAAGGACTGAAATCCTGCAGCGCCCGCAAGGTCCCCCTGCTCAAGAAAGCAAATATACAGGCCCGTCTGAAGTGGGTGAAAGTGTTGTGGTCAAATGAGACCAAAATCGAGCTCTTTGGCATCAACTCAACTCACCGTGTTTGGAGGAGGAGGAATGCTGCCTATGACCCCAAGAACACCATCCCCACCGTCAAACATGGAGGTGGAAACATTATGCTTTGGGGGTGTTTTTCTGCTAAGGGGACAGGACAACTTCAACGCATCAAAGGGACGATGGACGGGGCCATGTACCGTCAAATCCTTCCCTCAGCCAGGGCATTGAAAATGGGTCGTGGATGGGTATTCCAGCATGACAATGACCCAAAACACACGGCCAAGGCAACAAAGGAGTGGCTCAAGAAGAAGCACATTAAGGTCCTGGAGTGGCCTAGTCAGTCTCCAGACCTTAATCCCATAGAAAATCTGTGGAGGGAGCTGAAGGTTCGAGTTGCCAAACGTCAGCCTCGAAACCTTAATGACTTGGAGAAGATCTGCAAAGAGGAGTGGGACAAAATCCCTCCTGAGATGTGTGCAAACCTGGTGGCCAACTACAAGAAACGTCTGACCTCTGTGATTGCCAACAAGGGTTTTGCCACCAAGTACTAAGTCATGTTTTGCAGAGGGGTCAAATACTTATTCATTAAAATGCAAATCAATTTATAACATTTTTGACATGTGTTTTTCTGGATTTTGTTGTTGTTATTCTGTCTCTCACTGTTCAAATAAACCTACCATTAAAATTATAGACTGATCATGTCTTTGCCAGTGGGCAAACGTACAAAATCAGCAGGGGATCAAATACTTTTTTCCCCCCCTCACTGTATAGGCTATGAATACACTGCGTTGTATGCCTCAAGTAAATCTGAGCTGAAAAAACATTTCATGCTATTCCATTAAAACAACTGAAGCCTATTCGCACGTTGTAATCAAAATTCTAATCTTAAAAAGGTGCATTTCAAACTGTCATTTTCTGAGGTGCAGCCGGGAACTAGTTCTGTACGATGACGAGTGGGTGGGGTCGGATAAACTAGAATTGTAACATTTTGGCTTCCCAGTAGATTACAACGGCGATGGACAGAGAGCAGTGGATTGAACATTAACAGTACGAGAATAGCCTATGCAGCTGCCAACACCTCAAACACGTTGACACGTTGACACCGACATCAACCCCAGTATACCGGAGCAAGACAGAAACGCAAAATTAACAACACAACATAATCTCCCCTCTGCATTCAAGCAGCCCTTGGTAGCTGATTCTGACCGGGACAAAGACATTACAAGAGCGATAGGTAGGCTGTGTTTATATTTTTTAACAGTCATTGGTTTATCGCCGCGGATATGCGCCCATTCTAGGTGGTTGAGAATAGGGGAGGTTTCAGCACCTCGTGAAAATGCATGAGCCACGTTACGAACTTCCGTCTTGCACCCATTTCAGAAAACAGGTAGCACCCACTATCTATATAAGCAAGCCAAAGCCGAAGTCTTCAATTAATTGGCCAATGAACCCTGTGTTGCGCTTAGTTAACAGTGAACCGCCCGCCCATCACATTACCCTGGAGTGGGAGACATACCATATTACAGATGAGAGTTCGATCATTATTATTACTGATAATTAGACACTGCCAGATAAATCATGGCACGGGACATTAGCGTATCCTGTCTGCTAAATGAACTAGCCCGTTATATGGCACATAGATAACATACAGTAGGCCGACTCATCCTGTCCGTCTGAAATACATTTTCTTCATATTATGTTTCTTTAGACCTGTCTAACATAAAATAGATTTGTGATGTGTATATTAAATGGATTTGTTAGACTTTTTTTTATTTTTTTTATGTAGATGTTCAGTGGCTTGTATGCAGTCATTTGTATGACATTAACCGGCTGACAAAATGTCATGACCGCCACAGCCCTACCTGTAACCCCACCCCCCCCCACCAACAAGTCACAAGTGCACATCTGGCACTGAAGGAGGCAGTGTGTCATTGTGCGTCCATAACCAAGTGGGAACTTTCCACATACGACTGGAATAAATCCACTTCACCGCCCCTCCATCTGGTAATTACTATTGGGAAACTAGTCTATCATCCTGAGCACCCACTTCTCCCACACGGTGACCTCTGACGTCATCTACTAAGGGAATGGCCTCTATAACAGCATTTTCGGCAGTTAAATGCAACAAAACATTTATAAAAAAGGCAATCTACTTTTGTGGGTTTTGAATTATAATTTCTTTACAAGCATGTTTGTTTATTTGGATCCCCATTAGCTTTTGCAGAAGCAGCAGCTACACTGGGTGTTTCTCAGTATGCATACCACTGCGTGAAACACTCATGCTCCGAGTGCATTCTCGTAAAGACGAGAGAGTGTGAAGAACACAAAAAACATTACATTTGAGAGGCACTCACCCCCCCTACTGTATTACCTCACACTCCCCCCCTACTGTATTACCTCACACTCCCCCCCTACTGTATTACCTCACACTCCCCCCCTACTGTATTACCTCACACTCCCCCCTACTGTATTACCTCACTTCTGCCCCCTACTGTATTACCTCACACTCCCCCCCCCTACTGTATTACCCTCACACTCACCCTACTGTATTATACCTCACACTCCCCCCTACTGTATTACCTCACACTCTCCCCCCTACTGTATTACCTCACACTCCCACCCCCTACTGTATTACCTCACACCTCCCCCCCCCTACTGTATTACCTCACACTCCCCCCTACTGTATTACCTCACACTCCCCCCCCATTTCTCCGCCCCCACTGTATTACCTCACATCCTCCCCTACTGTATACCTCACCCCCCCCCCCTACTGTATTCCCTCACACCCCCCCCTACTGTATTACCTCCACCCCCCCTACTCGTATACCTCACACCCCCCCCTACTGTATTACCTCACACTCCCCCCTACTGTATTACCTCACACTCCCCCCTACTGTATACCTCACACCTCCCCCCTACTGTATTAACCTCACACTCCCCCCTACTGTATTACCTCACACTCCCCCCTACTGTATTACCACTCACACTCCCCCCTACTGTATTACCATCACCTCCCCCCTACTGTATTCCCTCACACTCCCCCCTACTGTATTCCCTCCCCCCCCTGTATACTCACACTCCCCCTACTGTATTCCCTCCCACTCCCCCCTACTGTATTCCCTCACACTCCCCCTACTGTATTCCCTCCCACTCCCCCCTACTGTATTCCCTCCCACTCCCCCCTACTGTATTCCCTCACACTCCCCCCCTACTGTATTCCCTCACACTCCCCCCTACTGTATTCCCTCACACCCCCCCTACTGTATTACCTCACACACTCCCCCCTACTGTATTCCCTCCCACCCCCCCCTACTGTATTCCCTCACACTCCCCTCACGCTCCCCCCCTACTGTATTACCTCACCCCCCCCCCCTACTGTATTACCTCACACTCCCCCCTACTGTATTACCTCACACTCCCCCCCTACTGTATTAC